TTCCATTTCCGTTGATTCCGTTACCGTTAGTGTATCCATTACCGTTGCCGTTGATAAGACCATTACCATTACCGTTGATAAGACCATTTCCATTTACGTTGCCATTAATTCCATTACCGTTGCCATTTGCATAACCGTTGCCATTGCCGTTGATGAGACCATTTCCATTTACTGCACCGTTGGCATATCCATTGCCATTGCCGTTTCCATTAGCATAACCGTTGCCATTACCATTGATGAGTCCATTTCCATTTACTGCACCATTGGCGTATCCATTGCCATTACCGTTGCCATTAGCATAACCGTTGCCATTGCCATTGATGAGTCCATTTCCATTTACTGCACCATTGGCGTATCCATTGCCATTACCGTTGCCATTAGCATAACCGTTGCCATTACCATTGATGAGTCCATTTCCATTTACTGCACCATTGGCGTATCCATTGCCATTACCGTTGCCATTAGCGTATCCGTTTCCATTACCATTGACGACACCATTTCCATTTACTGCACCATTGACGTATCCGTTACCATTACCGTTGCCATTAGCATAACCGTTGCCATTGCCATTGATGAGTCCATTTCCATTTACTCCACCATTGACGTATCCATTGCCATTACCGTTGCCATTAGCATAACCATTGCCATTAGCGTATCCGTTTCCATTACCGTTGACGACACCATTTCCGTTTACTGCACCATTGCCATTTGCTCCGTTACCGTAAATCCCGTTACCGTTAATAATGCCATTGACGATGCCGTTGGAGTATCCGTTGCCATTACCGTTGACCACTCCGATCTGAGCGTTGAGACTGTAGAACTGCGGGGCGGTGGAACAGTCAAAGTTGTACCACCAGTCACACACGAAGAACTGTTGGTTGAAGATGGTGCCGTTGGGACACAGGAAGGAGTCGCTCCTGCCATCTGCCTGACAGATGTGAAACACCTGTCGAGGACAACATTATCAATTAACCTGAAGATAAGCAACATCTACTTTAAACAACATTATTATGGAAACAGATAAATGCTTCAAGTTCTATTATCAAAAATCTTAAGGAATAAAGGAATATATCTTCTTTATACAGCAGGAGACGTAACAACTAAACCTTCATAAAATTCAGAATGTATTAGTTTATATGACATAAGACTCAGCTGACAGCCGGCCTCGGGGCAATATAAAACCCAGCTGACAGCCGGCCTCGGGGGCAGTATAAGACTCAGCTGACAGCCGGCCTCGGGGGCAGTAAAAGACTCACCTGACAGCCGGCCTCGGGGGCAGTATAAGACTCACCTGACAGCCGGCCTCGAGGGCAGTATCAGCGTAGTATCCGGGTATTAGTCCGCCGCAGGAGAATCCAGTGAAGGGGACAGAAGCCAGGATGGGATAGTCCACGCCGGGGACGCCACCACCTCCAATAGCATCTGCAAGGGCGCTGATGGGGCCCACGATGCCGTTGTAGTATCCGTTCCCGTTAACAGCGCCGTTGCCGTTGACTAAACCATTACCATTTCCATTGGCATATCCGTTCCCATTAACAGCACCAATGCCGTTGACTAAACCATTACCATTTCCATTGGTATATCCGTTCCCGTTAACACCACCGTTGCCGTTGACAAAACCATTACCATTTCCATTGGCATATCCGTTTCCGTTAACAACACCGTTGCCGTTGACAATAAGTCCATTACCGTTGCCATAACCACCATTGGTGTATCCGTTACCATTTCCGTTGATTACTCCGTTTCCATTGCCGTTTGTATATACTCCGTTACCATTTCCGCCATTTACATATCCATTACCATTTCCATTACCGTTTACAATCACACCATTTCCATTTAAACCATTGGCGTATCCGTTACCATTTCCATTGACTAACCCATTTCCGTTGCCATTTCCATTAATTCCATTATTATAACCTCCATTACCGTTACCATTACCGTTGCCACCATTGAAGCCGTTCGTTGGAGTTAAATAATTTAGGTTGACCGCCCAGGATGACGCAACTAGCGAGGCTGAGAAAATAAAGAAAGTAAAACTTATTGTAAATTACGACAAAAATTACATAGATGTTAATGGAAGGAAAATTCTTATACGTGATAATTGAGCTTTTAGTTTACGTTTGTGTTCAGTAATGAATAAGAGAGAGAGTTAGTCTTCTGAGATACATTAGAAACTTAATGAAAAAGGTCATTACATATACGAGTTACATAGTTCTCTTACCGATAAATATAAGATGTTTTGTGACCTTCATCTTCAGGAGATGTTTGTTGTGAAAGTCTTAATATGAGTTGTGACTCTGAGTGAGGTGTTGTTGTTGAGTCAAGTGTTGAGTGTGAGTCTCGAGGAGGAGGTGAGGTGAGGAGGAAGACCAGAGCGAGAGTTGTGATGCTGGGTCCAATTGGCGCCGCTTTATATACATGGTCGGGGGGCAGACACTCCGGGGGGCTCAAGGTCGCTAGATGGTGAGAGGAACTGTATTGGATGACCTGCTTGGCTTATATTAAGTAGAACACTGCTGGTTGGGTCATAGACCTTGGCACTACCATATTTTGTTAAAGCCTGAAATGTTATGGAACAGGTAAATTTAGAGAGAAACTTATGTAAAAGCTCATATATAAATTTAATGAAAAAAAAGAAAAAGTTATTATACATTACGGTGTCTTTAGTTTTAATTGATTCCTTTAAAATTCTGAATTACCTTCATACTGTTGATATATACAGACGAATCAGCAAACGTTCACTCAGTATGGGAATTCCTCTTACTGAACTAATGGGTAAATATAAACAGAATTTATCATCAATTGAGACTTTTTTAATGATGAATACCTTTATGATAAGTTTTCCCTCAGGTGTTAAAGTATTTATTTATCGTTATTTGATGTACAGACGAGATAGGACAGTAGTTTGTGTTGGCAACAGTGGTGATGGGAGGACAAGAGGTGGTGGAGGGAGTGGCTGTGGTATAAGGCTGGACTGTGGTATAAAGTAGGGCTGTGGTATAAGGCTAGACTGTGGTATAAGGCTGGAATGTAGTATACGGCTGGACTGTGGTATAAGGCTGGACTGTGGTATAAGGCTGGACTGTGGTATAAGGCTGGACTGTGGTATAATGTAGGACTGTGGTATAAGGCTGGATTGCGGTATAAGGCTGGACTGTGGTATAATGTAGGACTGTGGTATGAGGCTGGATTGTGGTATAAGGCTGGACTGTGGTATAAGGCTGGACTGTGGTATAAGGCTGGACTGTGGTATAAGGCTGGGCTGTGGTATAAGGCTGGACTGTGGTATAATTTAGGACTGTGGTATAAGGCTGGATTGTGGTATAAGGCTGGACTGTGGTATAAGGCTGGACTGTGGTATAAGGCCGGACTGTGGTATAAGGCTGGACTGTGGTATAAGGCTGGGCAGTGGTATAAAACTGGACTCTTTAATATTAATTAAAATGAAAGTAAATTTGTAACCGATGATAAAATTCTTCCCTTATTTGAAAAAAGGTTAAGGAACTTATGATATTTGACAGTTGTTGTTTACAGAAGGTGAGACATTGAGTTATGAAAGCAACTCACGTGACCTGGTGAGGAACTCTGACTTTCACTGACGAGATTAAACTTTTCATAATAGATCTTTCGTTTATTAATATATCTCGTCCTATCTACAGGTTAGGTTAGGTTAGGTTAGGTAAAAGTAGTGAGATATAAGGAGAATTTATGTTATTGTCTCGGTATTGTCTTTATCGTCGATGTAAACAATATTGAGTTTCTGTTGTTGTTTTTTTTCAACTGAATGAAAGTTTTTTTTTTTCAACTGAATGAAAGTTTTTTTTGTCTTTCTGTAACAATATCACCTAATTAGCATATTAAGTTTCATCAAGATCCACCAAAATTAATTAAAACATAAGTTCTTTTGTCTTTACTTTTATTCTTGTTCTTTAGTAAATCTCATCAAATTCGAGTATATTTATTTTCCTTTTGAGACTTTTAATAAAATTTCATGTAAATTTTATGAAAAAACTATTATGATACCTTATAATTATTGTTACATAAACATGATCCTTGTTTGTAAAGTTATGTACCAAGTTGATCAACTATTTCTCCCGTGTTGTGGTTCATCTGCCTCCATACAACACTTCACATTCCTTCATTATACTTTAATTGTGAGGTTGTTTCGTCAGGTTTGTTCATACTAACACTATCATTTAGGAAACATCTCACTTGTACAGTACAGTAGAAAGTCCTGTCGCCTCTCCTGCTGCTTCATGAATCCAGTAATTCAAACTCGTGAATCCAAAGAATCCGTGGACACAATAATGCATCAATGTCTACTGCCTCGGGTTCGCGAGTCTGAATCTCAGGGTTAGTGAAGCAGCAGGAGAGACGACAGGAGTTTTGACCGTGGCTGCACAGTACTATCGTGGACAAAAGTTTGCTCCTTCCCAAACTGAAGCAGTATCGACCCTCACAGCACACCAGCACCAGATAACAATGAGGGTAAGTCAGTTCGGAGACTCATTCCCGTGTCTCAGTTTCACTACAGGGAGCGAACTTTTGTCAACGATAGTACATGTTCCAAAAATACTCATTCCCACTTCGATACAGATTCAATGAACGATTACGAAACACGAATCGAGGGTCAAATTTCTAAGCGAGTCAGTAATTCTCTCCTTTATTAATTTCTTTACATTCCTCTAATTCCGATTCCACACAAACACACACATATTCACTTCTTTTCTGGCCATCATTTGAACAATCTATAAAGTTCCATTGAAATCCTATGCTTAGGTTTCACAATACCCTGTTCACACACACACACACACACAGAGGAAGTAAAGCAATCATCCCTACATGGGGTGAGAAGACAAGGTTCAATAGCTGTCAGCCAGGATTGTCGACTGTGTATTGAAAAGTTTTGTGTTGGCAGTTTCATAAGTAAGCCTTAATATATTTCAATAATTGAGGGAACAAAGATATAAAACTAAGAGTATATTAGAACTATTTTTCATTCATTTAAGACTACTTTCACTACATCACAGAATTGCCGGAAACAAACAAACTTCCTCTTCATTCGTTATCATTCATTCACTCTTTCTGCTACAACAGATAGGCTCTGCTGTAGTGTTCTCCTCTCATAACAAGACCTCAGGTATCTGTTTGGTTTATTCTGTCTTTCCATATAACTTGGGATCACCCGTCAGTAACACCGTCGGCCACAACAACTGGTCGACGCCATGGTCTCTCTCCTCATTCATAAACATATCAACGTCTTGTTTGTCCACCATCTTGATTTCTTGAGTTCTTCTTCCAGCTCGATAATCTCCTTCTAGGTGTTCCTCTCTTCCTCCCTCCATCTCTCCTTCTCCTCCTTCCTACCTTCTTCCTCCTCCGTCCGTCTCTCCCTTCCCCTACCATCCTCCTCTGAACTATACATCGGATTTATCAGTCTTTCCCTTACCATTCTCTCAATATGCCAGTAACACCACAACAAACTCCTGTTGTCATATCTCTGCCAGACACTTCCTTCACTCTCACATCTCTTCCTTAGTTCTATTTTTCTTATTTTATTTGTTCTATTACCCAACATATGATTCTTAAGTTCTTTATTTTTCCTTCTAATTTACTTGTTACTCTTTCATTCAGGGTCCAGCTTGACACATATCACTACGTGTAACTAAAGTAGAGAAATACGTGTTGCTTTCTCGCACTTTAAGACGTAGCTTGAGTGACCGAACTTAGTGATGATCTAGTGAGGAGGAATCATGGGAATCCTTGACCATGGAAGCCTAAGCAGGTGTGTACATACGCTAAAGAAGTAATTAGCTTAAGGTTGACTCTTAATTTGGTTTTATGTATCGAGGTGAGAAAGTTTTTCTCCAGGGTGATAATTTAGTGTCTATTGGGGCCTATAGTGGTGTGATCTGCACTAATGTGAGTATGGCCGCGCTCTACATCACAGTTCATTGTCAACCAGTTCTTGAGGTAAGGTGTTCTCCATCAACCCACCAAGATGGGAGGGGATACGTGCCTAACTATAAGGTCATGAAGGAAATGGAGAATGATGATTTTAACTCCGAACTCTTAGAAAAATACAAAATGCCAGGGAGTTGAGGGAGGGAGGGAGGAAAAATACATGTACATTGTACATATACAACTAAAAAATATTGGTTTTATTTCCTTCTTGTTCACTTGTTTCTGTACATGAAATCTTAGAGTGGTATTTGGGTACAATTGATAGATATGAACTGTATTGTACTATTAATAACGAGTTTCCATTTTTTTTAATCCATGTTGTATAACCAAACAATCCTATCATTACATCTTGTTAATATTCATGTGAATCATATTTGATGTTTTGATGAAGATGACAGCTACTGCAGGTACAATACTAGATCTTCAGAATTATTGTAAATCTGAAAGAATTCTATTGTTTAAGTCGTGATAAGAATAGGATATAAACACATTGTATAATAATATTATTTATTATTTTTTTAGATTATATTTGTCATAAGAAAATATAATAAGCATCTTGAAGCAACAAATAAAGGTTGTCAACTACACTTTGTAATTATAAATAATAAACAAAATATTGATTAATCTCGAGTAAAGATTTAGTTGAACTCTTAACAAGTAACAAGTTAATTTTTGGAAAACATTTTAAGCTCCCTGACCACACCTCAATATAACAATACTTTAGAACATACAGCAGATAATGAAGTAATTTAATTAACTTGAAACCACGGCCGAGTTATTTATTATACAGAAAAAATACTGTTAACTGAATCACAAAGATTTATACAAGATTTCCTGGATTATTTTTTGGAACACCGCAATTAATAATTTAGAAAAAGACGCTCATGTTCACAGGTGCAACATAAGTTGTAAATGTATAATAACTTTATATAAGTACATAAGTGTATTAAGTTGTAGATAAAAGAGTGAGAACTAGAGCAAGCATGTACAGTATATAGTTACTAGGTACAGCATACTATGGTCCTGACCCTGCCATGTCAGGCTCAGCTGGTTAGCTTAGTCGTTTTAGCTGCCTCTTAAGGAAGGTAAAGCTGACATCTCTCACATATATTAATTCCTGGAAGGAGTGAAAGACACAGACAAATGTCCTCTAACTGCAGCTTCGGTGTATGATAACAAAAAGTTTGTAAGAGTTGAGACAGATGTGGGAGGCAACACTTAGAAGGCGGGCGTCTGGTACAGGCCGGAGGGAGAGGCTGGCGCCGGTATGCTCAACCCGTTCCCGTTGACTCCGTTACCATTGGTGTATCCATTACCGTTGCCGTTGATAAGACCATTACCGTTGCCATTGAAAAGTCCATTACCGTTTCCATTGATAATACCATTACCGTTGCCATTGGCGTATCCATTACCGTTTCCATTACCGTTGGTGTATCCGTTTCCATTTCCGTTGATTCCGTTCCCGTTAGTATATCCATTACCGTTGCCGTTGATAAGACCATTACCATTTCCGTTGCCATTAATTCCATTATTGCCATTTCATAACCGTTGCCATTGCCGTTGATGAGACCGGTCATTACTACCGTTGGTATCGTTATTAAGATTGTTCGTTTCCCATTAGCATATCCGTTATACGACATTGATGAGTCCATTTCCATTTATCAAAATTGCCGCGTATTATCCATTGCCATTGCCGTTTCCATTAGCATAACCGTTGCCATTACCATTGATGAGTCCATTTCCATTTACTGCACCATTGGCGTATCCATTGCCATTACCGTTGCCATTAGCATAACCATTGCCATTAGCGTATCCGTTTCCATTACCATTGACGACACCATTTCCATTTACTGCACCATTGACGTATCCGTTACCATTACCGTTGCCATTAGCATAACCGTTGCCATTGCCATTGATGAGTCCATTTCCATTTACTGCACCATTGACGTATCCATTGCCATTACCGTTGCCATTAGCATAACCATTGCCATTAGCGAATCCGTTTCCATTACCGTTGACGACACCATTTCCGTTTACTGCACCATTGCCATTTGCTCCGTTACCGTAAATCCCGTTACCGTTAATAATGCCATTGACGATGCCGTTGGAGTATCCGTTGCCATTACCGTTGACCACTCCGATCTGAGCGTTGAGGTCGTAGAACTGTGGGGCGGTGGAACAGTCGAAGTTGTACCACCAGTCACACACGAAGAACTGCTGGTTGAAGATGGTGCCGTTGGGACACAGGAAGGAGTCGCTCCTGCCATCTGCCTGACAGATGTGAAACACCTGTCGAGGACAACATTATCAATTAACCTGAAGATAAGCAACATCTACTTTAAACAACATTATTATGGAAACAGATAAATGCTTCAAGTTCTATTCTCAAAAATCTTGAGGAATATAGGAATATATCTTCTTTATACAGCAGGAGACGTAACAACTAAACCTTCATAAAATTCAGAATGTATTAGTTTATATGACATAAGACTCAGCTGACACATGCCGACAGCCATTCGGGGGCAGTAAAAGACTCACCTGACAGCCGGCCTCGGGGGCAGTATCAGCGTAGTATCCGGGTATTAGTCCGCCGCAGGAGAATCCAGTGAAGGGGACAGAAGCCAGGATGGGATAGTCCACGCCGGGAACGCCGCCACCTCCAATAGCATAAGCAAGGGCGCTGATGGGGTCCACGATGCCGTTGTAGTATCCGTTCCCGTTAACAGCGCCGTTGCCGTTGACTAAACCATTACCATTTCCATTGGCATATCCGTTACCGTTAACAGCACCATTGCCGTTGACAAATCCATTACCGTTTCCATTGGTATATCCGTTTCCGTTAACACCACCGTTGCCGTTGACAAAACCATTACCATTTCCATTGGCATATCCATTTCCGTTAACAACACCGTTGCCGTTCACAATAAGTCCATTACCGTTGCTATAACCACCATTGGCGTATCCGTTACCATTTCCGTTGATTACTCCGTTTCCATTGCCGTTTGTATATACTCCGTTACCATTTCCGCCATTTACATATCCATTACCATTTCCATTACCGTTTACAATCACACCATTTCCATTTAAACCATTGGCGTATCCGTTACCATTTCCATTGACTAACCCATTTCCGTTGCCGTTTAGAATCACACCGTTGCCATTTCCATTAATTCCATTATTATAACCTCCATTACCGTTACCATTACCGTTGCCACCGTTGAAGCCGTTCGTTGGAGTTAAATAATTTAGGTTGACCGCCCAGGATGACGCAACTAGCGAGGCTGAGAAAATAAAGAAAGTAAAACTTATTGTAAATTACGACAAAAATTACATAGATGTTAATGGAAGGAAAATTATTATACATGATAATTGAGTTTTTAGTTTACGTTTGTGTTCAGTAATGAATAAGAGAGAGAGTTAGTCTTCTGAGATACATTAGAAACTTAATGAAAAAGATCACTACATATACGAGTTACATAGTTCTCTTACCGATAAATATAAGATGTTTTGTGACCTTCATCTTCAGGAGATGTTTGTTGTGAAAGTCTTAATATGAGTTGTGACTCTGAATGAGTGTTGTTGTTGAGTCAAGTGTTGAGTGTGAGTCTCGAGGAGGAGGTGAGGTGAGGAGGAAGACCAGAGCGAGAGTTGTGATGCTGGGTCCAACTGGCGCCGCTTTATATACATGGTCGGGGGGCAGACACTCCGGGGGGGCTCAAGGTCGCTAGATGGTGAGAAGAACTGTATTGGGTGACCTGCTTGGCTGATATTAAGTAGAACACTGCTGGTTGGGTCATAGACCTTGGCACTACCATATTTTGTTAAAGCCTGACATGTTATGGAACAGGTAATTTTAGAGAGAAACTTATGTAAAAGCTCATATATAAATTTAATGAAAAAAAAGAAAAAGTTATTATACATTACGGTGTCTTTAGTATTAATTGATTCCTTTAAAATTCTGGATTACCTTCATACTGTTGATATATACAGAAGAATCAGCAACGTTCACTCAGTATGGGAATTCCTCTTATGCAATACTGAACTAATGGGTAAATATAAACAGAATATATCATCAACTGAGACTTTTTTAGTGATGAAAACCTTTATGATAAGTTTTCCCTCAGGTGTTAAAGTATTTATTTATCGTTGTTTGATGTACAGACGAGATAGGACAGTAGTTTGTGTTGGCAACAGTGGTGATGGGAGGACAGGAGGTGGTGGAGGGAGTGGCTGTGGTATAAGGCTGGACTGTGGTATAAGACTGGACTGTGGTATAAGGCTGGACTGTGGTATAAGGCTGGGCTGTGGTATAAGGCTGGACTGTGGTATAAGGCTGGACTGTGGTTTGAGGCTGGGCTGTGGTATAAGGCTGGACTGTGGTATAATGTAGGACTGTGGTATAAGGCTGACTGTGGTATAAGGCTGGACTGTATAAGACTGGACTGTGGTATAAGGTTGACTAGGTATAAGGCTGTGGTATAAGGCTGGACTGTGGTATAAGGCTGGACTGTGGTATAAGACTGAACTGTGGTATAAGACTGGACTGTATAAGACTGACTGTGGTAAAAGTTGGGGCTGGACTGTGGTATAATGTAGGACTGTGGTATGAGGCTGGATTGTGGTATAAGGCTGGACTGTGGTATAAGGCTGGACTGTGGTATAAGGCTGGACTGTGGTATAAGGCTGGGCTGTGGTATAAGGCTGGACTGTGGTATAATTTAGGACTGTGGTATAAGGCTGGATTGTGGTATAAGGCTGGACTGTGGTATAAGGCTGGACTGTGGTATAAGGCCGGACTGTGGTATAAGGCTGGACTGTGGTATAAGGCTGGGCAGTGGTATAAAACTGGACTCTTTAATATTAATTAAAATGAAAGTAAATTTGTAACCGATGATAAAATTCTTCCCTTATTTGAAAAAAGGTTAAGGAACTTATGATATTTGACAGTTGTTGTTTACAGAAGGTGAGACATTGAGTTATGAAAGCAACTCACGTGACCTGGTGAGGAACTCTGACTTTCACTGACGAGATTAAACTTTTCATAATAGATCTTTCGTTTATTAATATATCTCGTCCTATCTACAGGTTAGGTTAGGTTAGGTTAGGTAAAAGTAGTGAGATATAAGGAGAATTTATGTTATTGTCTCGGTATTGTCTTTATCGTCGATGTAAACAATATTGAGTTTCTGTTGTTGTTTTTTTTCAACTGAATGAAAGTTTTTTTTTTTCAACTGAATGAAAGTTTTTTTTGTCTTTCTGTAACAATATCACCTAATTAGCATATTAAGTTTCATCAAGATCCACCAAAATTAATTAAAACATAAGTTCTTTTGTCTTTACTTTTATTCTTGTTCTTTAGTAAATCTCATCAAATTCGAGTATATTTATTTTCCTTTTGAGACTTTTAATAAAATTTCATGTAAATTTTATGAAAAAACTATTATGATACCTTATAATTATTGTTACATAAACATGATCCTTGTTTGTAAAGTTATGTACCAAGTTGATCAACTATTTCTCCCGTGTTGTGGTTCATCTGCCTCCATACAACACTTCACATTCCTTCATTATACTTTAATTGTGAGGTTGTTTCGTCAGGTTTGTTCATACTAACACTATCATTTAGGAAACATCTCACTTGTACAGTACAGTAGAAAGTCCTGTCGCCTCTCCTGCTGCTTCATGAATCCAGTAATTCAAACTCGTGAATCCAAAGAATCCGTGGACACAATAATGCATCAATGTCTACTGCCTCGGGTTCGCGAGTCTGAATCTCAGGGTTAGTGAAGCAGCAGGAGAGACGACAGGAGTTTTGACCGTGGCTGCACAGTACTATCGTGGACAAAAGTTTGCTCCTTCCCAAACTGAAGCAGTATCGACCCTCACAGCACACCAGCACCAGATAACAATGAGGGTAAGTCAGTTCGGAGACTCATTCCCGTGTCTCAGTTTCACTACAGGGAGCGAACTTTTGTCAACGATAGTACATGTTCCAAAAATACTCATTCCCACTTCGATACAGATTCAATGAACGATTACGAAACACGAATCGAGGGTCAAATTTCTAAGCGAGTCAGTAATTCTCTCCTTTATTAATTTCTTTACATTCCTCTAATTCCGATTCCACACAAACACACACATATTCACTTCTTTTCTGGCCATCATTTGAACAATCTATAAAGTTCCATTGAAATCCTATGCTTAGGTTTCACAATACCCTGTTCACACACACACACACACACAGAGGAAGTAAAGCAATCATCCCTACATGGGGTGAGAAGACAAGGTTCAATAGCTGTCAGCCAGGATTGTCGACTGTGTATTGAAAAGTTTTGTGCTGGCAGTTTCATAAATAAACCTTAATATATTTCAATAATTAAGGTAACAAAGATATAAAACTACGAGTATATTAGAACTATTTTTCATTGATTTAAAACTACTTTCACTACATCACAGAATTGCCGGAAACAAACAAACTTTCTCTTCATTCGTTATCATTCATTCACTCTTTTGCTACAACAGATAGGTTCTGCTGTAGTGTTCTCCTCTCATAACAAGACCTCAAGGTATCTGTTTGGTTTATTCTGTCTTTCCATATAACTTGGGATCACCCGTCAGTAACACAGTCGGCCACAACAACTGGTCGACGCCATGGTCTCTCTCCTCATTCATAAACATATCAACGTCTTGTTTGTCCACCATCTTGATTTCTTGAGTTCTTCTTCCAGCTCGATAATCTCCTTCTAGGTGTTCCTCTCTTCCTCCCTCCATCTCTCCTTCTCCTCCTTCCTACCTTCTTCCTCCTCCGTCCGTCTCTCCCTTCCCCTACCATCCTCCTCTGAACTATACATCGGATTTATCAGTCTTTCCCTTACCATTCTCTCAATATGCCAGTAACACCACAACAAACTCCTGTTGTCATATCTCTGCCAGACACTTCCTTCACTCTCACATCTCTTCCTTAGTTCTATTTTTCTTATTTTATTTGTTCTATTACCCAACATATGATTCTTAAGTTCTTTATTTTTCCTTCTAATTTACTTGTTACTCTTTCATTCAGGGTCCAGCTTGACACATATCACTACGTGTAACTAAAGTAGAGAAATACGTGTTGCTTTCTCACACTGTAAGACGTAGCTTGAGTGACCGAACTTAGTGATGATCTAGTGAGGAGGAATCATGGGAATTCTTGACCATGGAAGCCTAAGCAGGTGTGTACATACGCTGAAGAAGTAATTAGTTTAAAGTTGACTCTTAATTTGGTTTTATGTATCGAGGTGAGAAAGTTTTTCTCCAGGGTGATTATTTAGTGTCTATTGGGGCCTATGGTGGTGTGGTCTGCACTAATGTGAGTATGGCCGCGCTCTACATCACAGTTCATTGTCAACCAGTTCTTGAGGTAAGGTGTTCTCCCTCAACCCACCAAGATGGGAGGGGATACGTGCCTAACTGTAAGGTCATGAAGGAAATGGAGAATGATGATTTTAACTCCTAACTCTTAGAAAAATACAAAATGCCAGGGAGTTGAGGGAGGGAGGGAGGGAAAATACATGTACATATACAACTAAAAAATATTGTTTTTATTTCCTTCTTGTTCACTTGGTTCTGTACATGAAATCTTCGAGTGGTATTTGGGTACAATTGATAGATATGAACTGTATTGTACTACTAATAACGAGTTTCCATTTATTTTTAATCCATGTTTTATAACCAAACAATCCTATCATTACACCTTGTTAATCTTCATGTGAATCATATTTGATGTTTTAATGAAGATGACAGCTACTGCAGGTACAATACTAGATCTTCAGAATTATTGTAAATCTGAAAGAAATCTATTGTTTAAGTCGTGATAAGAATAAAAACACATTGCATAATAATATTATTTATTATTTTTTTAGATTATATTTGTCATAAGAAAATATAATAAGCATCTTGAAGCAACAAATAAAGGTTGTCAACTACACTTTGTAATTATAAATAATAAACAAAATATTGATTAATCTCGAGTAAAGATTTAGTTGAACTCTTAACAAGTAACAAGTTAATTTTTGGAAAACATTTTAAGCTCCCTGACCACACCTCAATATAACAATACTTTAGAACATACAGCAGATAATGAAGTAATTTAATTAACTTGAAACCACGGCCGAGTTATTTATTATACAGAAAAAATACTGTTAACTGAATCACAAAGATTTATACAAGATTTCCTGGATTATTTTTTAGAACACCGCAATTAATAATTTAGAAAAAGACGCTCATGTTCACAGGTGCAACATAAGTTGTAAATGTATAATAACTTTATATAAGTACATAAGTGTATTAAGTTGTAGATAAAAGAGTGAGAACTAGAGCAAGCATGTACAGTATATAGTTACTAGGTACAGCATACTATGGTCCTGACCCTGCCATGTCAGGCTCAGCTGGTTAGCTTAGTCGTTTTAGCTGCCTCTTAAGGAAGGTAAAGCTGACATCTCTCACATATATTAATTCCTGGAAGGAGTGAAAGACACAGACAAATGTCCTCTAACTGCAGCTTCGGTGTATGATAACAAAAAGTTTGTAAGAGTTGAGACAGATGTGGGAGGCAACACTTAGAAGGCGGGCGTCTGGTACAGGCCGGAGGGAGAGGCTGGCGCCGGTATGCTCAACCCGTTCCCGTTGACTCCGTTACCATTGGTGTATCCATTACCGTTGCCGTTGATAAGACCATTACCGTTGCCATTGAAAAGTCCATTACCGTTTCCATTGATAATACCATTACCGTTGCCATTGGCGTATCCGTTACCGTTTCCATTACCGTTGGTGTATCCGTTTCCATTTCCGTTGATTCCGTTACCGTTAGTGTATCCATTACCGTTGCCGTTGATAAGACCATTACCATTACCGTTGATAAGACCATTTCCATTTACGTTGCCATTAATTCCATTACCGTTGCCATTTGCATAACCGTTGCCATTGCCGTTGATGAGACCATTTCCATTTACTGCACCGTTGGCATATCCATTGCCATTGCCGTTTCCATTAGCATAACCGTTGCCATTACCATTGATGAGTCCATTTCCATTTACTGCACCATTGGCGTATCCATTGCCATTACCGTTGCCATTAGCATAACCATTGCCATTAGCGTATCCGTTTCCATTACCATTGACGACACCATTTCCATTTACTGCACCATTGACGTATCCGTTACCATTACCGTTGCCATTAGCATAACCGTTGCCATTGCCATTGATGAGTCCATTTCCATTTACTCCACCATTGACGTATCCATTGCCATTACCGTTGCCATTAGCATAACCATTGCCATTAGCGAATCCGTTTCCATTACCGTTGACGACACCATTTCCGTTTACTGCACCATTGCCATTTGCTCCGTTACCGTAAATCCCGTTACCGTTAATAATGCCATTGACGATGCCGTTGGAGTATCCGTTGCCATTACCGTTGACCACTCCGATCTGAGCGTTGAGGTCGTAGAACTGCGGGGCGGTGGAACAGTCGAAGTTGTACCACCAGTCACACACGAAGAACTGCTGGTTGAAGATGGTGCCGTTGGGACACAGGAAGGAGTCGCTCCTGCCATCTGCCTGACAGATGTGAAACACCTGTCGAGGACAACATTATCAATTAACCTGAAGATAAGCAACATCTACTTTAAACAACATTATTATGGAAACAGATAAATGCTTCAAGTTCTATTCTCAAAAATCTTGAGGAATATAGGAATATATCTTCTTTATACAGCAGGAGACGTAACAACTAAACCTTCATAAAATTCAGAATGTATTAGTTTATATGACATAAGACTCAGCTGACAGCCGGCCTCGGGGGCAGTATAAGACTCAACTGACAGCCGGCCTCGGGGCAGTATAAGACTCACCTGACAGCCGGCCTCGGGGGTAGTATAAGACTCAGCTGACAGCCGGCCTCGGGGGCAGTAAAAGACTCACCTGACAGCCGGCCTCGGGGGCAGTATCAGCGTAGTATCCGGGTATTAGTCCGCCGCAGGAGAATCCAGTGAAGGGGACAGAAGCCAGGATGGGATAGTCCACGCCGGGAACGCCGCCACCTCCAATAGCATAAGCAAGGGCGCTGATGGGGTCCACGATGCCGTTGTAGTATCCGTTCCCGTTAACAGCGCCGTTGCCGTTGACTAAACCATTACCATTTCCATTGGCATATCCGTTACCGTTAACAGCACCATTGCCGTTGACAAATCCATTACCGTTTCCATTGGTATATCCGTTTCCGTTAACACCACCGTTGCCGTTGACAAAACGTTGACAAAACCATTACCATTGGCATATCCGTTTCCGTTAACAACACTGTTGCCGTTGACAATAAGTCCATTACCGTTGCCATAACCACCATTGGCGTATCCGTTACCATTTCCGTTGATTACTCCGTTTCCATTGCCGTTTGTATATACTCCGTTACCATTTCCGCCATTTACATATCCATTACCATTTCCATTACCGTTTACAATCACACCATTTCCATTTAAACCATTGGCGTATCCGTTACCATTTCCATTGACTAACCCATTTCCGTTGCCGTTTAGAATCACACCGTTGCCATTTCCATTAATTCCATTATTATAACCTCCATTACCGTTACCATTACCGTTGCCACCGTTGAAGCCGTTCGTTGGAGTTAAATAATTTAGGTTGACCGCCCAGGATGACGCAACTAGCGAGGCTGAGAAAATAAAGAAAGTAAAACTTATTGTAAATTACGACAAAAATTACATAGATGTTAATGGAAGGAAAATTCTTATACATGATAATTGAGTTTTTAGTTTACGTTTGTGTTCAGTAATGAATAAGAGAGAGAGTTAGTCTTCTGAGATACATTAGAAACTTAATGAAAAAGATCACTACATATACGAGTTACATAGTTCTCTTACCGATAAATATAAGATGTTTTGTGACCTTCATCTTCAGGAGATGTTTGTTGTGAAAGTCTTAATATGAGTTGTGACTCTGAATGAGTGTTGTTGTTGAGTCAAGTGTTGAGTGTGAGTCTCGAGGAGGAGGTGAGGTGAGGAGGAAGACCAGAGCAAGAGTTGTGATGCTGGGTCCAACTGGCGCCGCTTTATATACATGGTCGGGGGGCAGACACTCCGGGAGGCTCAAGGTCGCTAGATGGTGAGAGGAACTGTATTGGGTGACCTGCTTGGCTGATATTAAGTAGAACACTGCTGGTTGGGTCATAGACCTTGACACTACCATATTTTTTTTAAGCCTGACATGTTATGGAATAGGTAATTTTAGAGAGAAACTTATGTAAAAGCTCATGTACAAATTTAATGAAAAAAAAGAAAAAGTTATTATACATTAGGGTGTCTTTAGTATTAATTGATTCCTTTAAAATTCTGGATTACCTTCATACTGTTGATATATACAGAAGAATCAGCAACGTTCACTCAGTATGGGAATTCCTCTTATGCAATACTGAACTAATGGGTAAATATAAACAGAATTTATCATCAACTGAGACTTTTTTAGTGATGAAAACCTTTATGATAAGTTTTCCCTCAGGTGTTAAAGTATTTATTTATCGTTGGTTGATGTACAGACGAGATAGGACAGTAGTTTGTGTTGGCAACAGTGGTGATGGGAGGACACGAGGTGGTGGAGGGAGTGGCTGTGGTATAAGGCTGGACTCTGGTATAAAGTAGGGCTGTGGCATAAGGCTGGACTGTAGTATAAGGCTGGACTGTGATATAAGGCTGGACTGTGGTATAAGGCTGGGTTGTGGTATAAAACTGGACTGTGGTATAATGTAGGACTGTTGTATAAAGGCTGGATTGTGGTATAAGGCTGGGCTGTGGTATAAAAGGCAGGACTGTGGTATAAGAGCTGGACTGTGGTATAAGGCTGGACTGTGGTATAAAAGAGCTGGGCTGTGGTATAAGGCAAATTTGTGGTATAAGGCTGGACTGGTATAAAGGCTGGACTGTAAGGTATAAACTGGGCTGTGGTATAAGGCTGGACTGTGGTATAATGTAGGACTTTGTTGTATAAAGGCTTTGGATTTACAGTATAAGGCTACAGACTGTGGTATAAAGGCTGGACTGTGGTATAAGGCTGGATTGTGGTATAAAGGCTGGGCTGTGAGCCTAAGGAGCTGGACACAATGGTATAATCTTAGACTGTGGTATAAGGCTGGACTGTGGTATAAGGCTGGGCTGTGGTATAAGGCTGGACTGTGGTATAATGTAGGACTGTGGTATAAGGCTGGATTGTGGTATAAGGCTGGACTGTGGTATAAGGCTGGACTGTGGTATAAGGCCGGACTGTGGTATAAGGCTGGACTGTGGTATAAGGCTGGGCAGTGGTATAAAACTGGACTCTTTAATATTAATTAAAATGAAAGTAAATTTGTAACCGATGAGAAAATTCTTCCCTTGTTTGAAAAAAGGTGAAGGAAATTATGATATTTGACAGTTGTTGTTTACAGAAGGTGAGACATTGAGTTATGAAAGCAACTCACGTGACCAGGTGAGGAACTCTGACTTTCACTGACGAGATTAAACTTTTCATAATAGATCTTTCGTTTATGAATATATCTCGTCCTATCTACAGGTTAGGTTAGGTTAGGTTAGGTAAAAGTAGTGAGATATAAGGAGAATTTATGTTATAGTCTCGGTATTGTCTTTATCGTCGATGTAAACAATATTGAGTTTCTGGGTTTTTTTCAACTGAATGAAAGTTTTTTTTTTGTCTTTCTGTAACAATATCACCTAATTAGCTTATTAAATTTCGTCAAGATCCACCAAAATTAATTAAAACATAAGTTCTTTTGTCTTTACTTTTATTCTTGTTCTTTAGTAAATCTCATCAAATTCGAGTATATTTATTTTCCTTTTGAGACTTTTAATATAATTTCTAGTAAATTTTATGAAAAAAATATTATGATACCTTATAATTATTGTAACGTAAACATGATCCTTGTTTGTAAAGTTATGTACCAAGTTGATCAACTATTTTTCCGGTGTTGTGGTTCATCTGCCTCCACAGAACACTTCACATTCCTTCATTATACTTTAATTGTTAGGTTGTTTCGTCAGGTTTGTTCATACTAACACTATCATTTAGGAAACATCTCACTTGTACAGTACAGTATAAAGTCCTGTCGCCTCTCCTGCTGCTTCATGAATCCAGCAATTCAGACTCGTGAATCCAAAGAATCCGTGGACACAATAATGCATCAATGTCTACTGCCTCGGGTTCGCGAGTCTGAATCTCAGGGTTAGTGAAGCAGCAGGAGAGACGACAGGACTTTTGACCGTGGCTGCACAGTACTATCGTGGACAAAGGTTTGCTCCTTCCCAAACTGAAGCAGTATCGACCCTCACAGCACACCAGCACCAGATAACAATGAGGGTAAGTCAGTTCGGAGACTCATTCCCGTGTCTCAGTTTCACTACAGGGAGCGAACTTTTGTCAACGATAGTACATGTTCCAAAAATACTCATTCCCACGTCGATACACATTCAATGAACGATTACGAAACACGAATCGAGGGTCAAATTTCTAAGCGAGTCAGTAATTCTCTCCTTTACGAATTTCTTTACATTCCTCTAATTCCGATTCCACACAAACACACACATATTCACTTCTTTTCTGGCCATCATTTGAACAATCTATAAAGTTCCATTGAAATCCTATGCTTAGGTTTCACAATACCCTGTTCACACACACACACACACACAGAGGAAGTAAAGCAATCATCCCTACATGGGGTGAGAAGACAAGGTTCAATAGCTGTCAGCCAGGATTGTCGACTGTGTATTGAAAAGTTTTGTGCTGGCAGTTTCATAAATAAACCTTAATATATTTCAATAATTAAGGTAACAAAGATATAAAACTACGAGTATATTAGAACTATTTTTCATTGATTTAAAACTACTTTCACTACATCACAGAATTGCCGGAAACAAACAAACTTTCTCTTCATTCGTTATCATTCATTCACTCTTTTGCTACAACAGATAGGTTCT